TGTTGCACGCTTTTCACTCCAAGCAGCCCGGGCTGGAAGACGCATGGTTGGGGCGGAGCGGTCCTGCTTAACAATCCCACTGGTGGCCTCTGGACGGTCGGCTCCAGCGAGAGCCGGGCTCGCCCCAACCCCGCGCAGCGCCTACCAAGCGCAACCCAGAGAGGAGAACCAGCCGCCACGCTAGACAGTCACCGCGCACCGCAGCACAAAGCCCCCTCTGCCTCAGACACCTCCTACGGAGCTTCTCCACGCCCCTGCCCCGGGGAGAGCTGGGAAGCGTAGTCCTAGGCTTTACCAGCGGACCTCATCTGTCGACAAGGCAGCGTCTACCTTATCCCAGCTCATATAAATACAACGAAACGGTATGGTTTGGTTTGGTTTGGTTTTTTTTTTTATTTAAGTAGTCGATTCCACTTCTGCCATTTGCGGGTAGAAATGTGGTTTGCTTTACACCAATGAAAATGAGCTGCGGGATGTAGAAGTCACATGGAAGAGCATGTCTTTTCCACAACAGATTGGGGTACCGTGTTTTGAGATGCTGGCTGAGGAGACACACACAACATAGCTTATCCAGGGTTTGTGTCCCAGAAAGCAAATTCCTGGATTCACCCAACAAACTAAGCCAGAAATCCTGGTTTACAAATAAACTACCTTTTGGCTTAGCATACTGTGTGAATCAGCCAGGCATGCCATGAAAGGGCAGCCAATTTATTCTTATGTATTTATTCAGATTCTGCCAGCAGTTACAATATCATCAAATTACACTAAAACATCTATGGAACAAAGTAATAAAAATAAATAATTGTAACTCTAATGCCTGAAAAAAGGTGTCATTTGTAAGTTTTTTGCTCCACGGGTTGCCAAAAACCCTTGACTGGCCTTGAAATCTATATGCCTAGACTAGCAGGGATACACTTGACTGCTCACCTCATTTCTCACTATTATTTCTCTCCTCCCCCCCAGGGGGAAATTCTTCATGGTACAGTATCTCCTTCTTTTCATACCCTACTACCACTGTTGAAAAAAGGAAAATACAAAGAATTCTTAGCCAGCACATGAGGGACCTGACTTCTTCTAAAAACCAAGGGTGTTTTGATTATTGTAACAGCTTCAAAGAAACAAACCTGCTTTGTCATCAAGTGGGTATTTATCTGGAATCTGCATTAGATGATGGGGTGTTTTATGCAATGTTCTTAAAGTGTTCCTATACCCTTACATCTTAACAGTACAGCTTATCAAGTAATGTGTGAAAAGGCATCTGTGAGTAGGATTGAGCTGGGCTTCCTTGCTGGAATTCACGGAAATAGTTGAGCGGGTTTCACTTAAAAGTATTTGTGATCCCAGTCAGCAAATCTTTTCTCTTCTTGCCTTCACTGATTTCATGGCTTGGTCTTGTCCAACAAAGAGCAGAACTATGGGAAGGTCCCCTTGGAAGGCCTGCTATTCTTTTAGGTGAAACGGGGCCATCATTACATTTACCTAACATTCATCATAACTGGATTATGACGCCTGGTTCTTTGCGACTTTGTTCCTTCCTTATATTTGATTTAATAAAATATGTGGCGTGACATTTTGTTTGAAGACAGCATTAAGACAGAACAGGGTGGTTTCAGTCAGCACTGCTATTGTGGTATTGGCATTCTGTGATTCACAGCATACATTTGCTTTGTAGCTATCAGTGTCTTCAGGGAGAGTAAAAATCAGCCCGATGGCAGATACAGCATCACAATCTAATCCACACCACTTCTGAACTTGTGACATTGACACACATACAAAAAGGTGGGACTTGCATTGCAACACTGTCCACCATCTTACCAATTCTGACCTCCACTGAGGACGTTGCTGTTTGTAACCTTTGCCAACATATAAAAATCCTGACATATTTTGGTTCAGCCTTCCCAATCTTCTCCCAATACGTTGGAGGATATATCACAATTTCTAATCAGTACAGTTTTTGAAAATGCTGGTGTGAAATTACAGGAGCTGGAATCCAGCACAACTGAAAGGTGGTAGTTTAGGAAAGGCTGTCCTGGTTCATACCTTGGGTTCAAATTCTGTAATGGTCATCAGTTTTTTTTTCTTTCTACCTAGTCCAAACAAAGCCTTTGAACCTCTCTTCATAACTGAGAACCCTCACAGGCAAGGGAGATTAATGTTTCTTATGGTAAGGCAGCACAATACTTTGTCTCACATCGAATTTAGAGCATCTTGGAAAGTAAAAACCAATGTGTCCTTATTTAAGGAAAAAGCATTTTTAATTTACCTGATAAAATATCATTGGTCTTGCTAAGGACAGAACTACAGAAGGTGCCATAAAAATATCTTAACATCACACCTCATTATTACATTTATTAAAGTCAGACAAGATTAAAGTGTTCTTAATATCACTATTAATTAAATCAGTATATCTGTTATATATTTATTTATTTATTTATTTATTTCCACCTTTACTTTTTGATCAATTCAAGGCAGCAGCCATGCCTAATCATACCACCTCCTGTCTTCCCCACAATGCAACCCTGTGATGTGGGTCGGGCTGAGAGAAAGCCGTGGGCCCCAGGTTGCCCAGCATCTTAGCCCTACATCAAGGCTAAGAAAGTCTGCTGGTTCTTACAGAACAGTAGATCCCAGATAACCTTTGTGTAACAAGTGTGCCCTTACAGTGACTGCAAATAAAGGGAAGTTCTAATGTTTGGTCTTCTATCTGAACTTATGTATCTGTTTTTTGCATGTATTTGTGATGGACATCAAAGGAGTGGGGCTTCAACTGAACAGTCATGGTCACCATGTTGACTTTTTTGACTTCCCAAGACACCCCTGCCTCCTTTTCCCAGCCATTTTTATAGTTTTGCATTCAGTCTGATTTCTAATTCCTGCTCTACAGTGGAGTGGTCAATTTTGTGTATCTTATCTTATTTATTAATCTAACATCATTCTATTAGCTACATTTTAATGTGTTACTGTTTTTCTGGCAGGTTAAGATTTTATTTTAATGCTTCAAGTAAGAATGAAATCTGCTCAGAAAATTTCATTTACTGAACATATTAGAAATCTAAGTGATAAGAAATAAGATCAGTGCAAAAATCCCCAAAATGAAATAATTTAACTACGTACCAGGGAGTAAGACCCAGTGGACATAGCAAACATACATAACTTTTCTGCAGAAATATAATCATAAGCATACCATGAGCAAATAAGTTCCTCTGAATTCAAGGGAACTTACTTCTCCTACTAGATTGGGATAAAAGAGATCTGTAACTTTTAAACTTTATTATAGATGACAGCTATAGGAAGGCATCAGAAAAATCTCTTTCATACATATCATTAAATTTATCGTGAAATATCTGCCAGGAAAATCTCTTTGATATATATTTGGACAAAAAAATTAAAACGTGAAAGTGATATATCAATATGTCTTCTTTAAACATTGGTCCCATCATATAACATCAGATACAAAGCCCCAAGACGGTGTGAAAAAAGTCGAGATGGGGGTGGGGAGTTGGTTATACAGCTGCAGCCACCATTTTGACTTCCAGCCACCTCTGGAAGGATGTCTTAGTGCTCAAAGGACATTAAAGTCAGTGCTGGGCTTGCCTCCTTGGGTAGGTATTCTATCAATGGGGCTCCACAGGTGAAGAAGCCCTCTGCTTCATCTCACCTGCCGTCCTTCAGATATGTTGGATTTCCAACTCCCATAATCACAAAGTATTTGGGATTCTCAGGACAACTTTGTTGGTGAAGGCTGATCTGAAGCCAACAGTGGACAGATAAGGGTTCCACAGCAGAGAACATGAGTTTGTGGCATAAATGCCTCCTTTTCACCCAAAAGCTTCAACTTTAGAATTGGGTGCCCAATATTCATCAACATCTTCTACGTATCTATATCTATACAGTGGTGGTACCAAGTACTGTAATATAAATAAATTAAACAGGAGGAATATAGAAGGGCCAGTATGAATTTCTATGTGGGTGAACTATGTCCTTAATGTTAGATTGTTGATGAATATATTTCACCTTAATTTCAAAGTGTTTATAAATAAGAGATGCAATATAATACAAACTCTTTATATGGACAGTTCTGCCCCCACCCCCACCCCGAATGATCCCATCCCTAAATAATGCCTGGCCTAAATACTGAACCCTTAAGGTAAATTATAAATGAACATTTACAATGTTTGCAGCTGTTTTTATCATATTTAGAGTATTTTTATTGTTGCGCACTACTTTCAGTCACCATCACCATTATCATCGTCGTGTCTATATATCAGTAGGGCTTAGTAGTTTAACAGTACGTAGTTTACCAGTATAACACACACCTAGGCCTCAGTTAGGGCTACCATATCTGGGCTGCAAGAACCTGGATGACCACTAGATGGCAACGGAGAATATTTCTGTATCCTTCCATGGACAGTTAGTGGTCATCTAGATTTGTGCAGCTGAAATATGCCAGCCTTTTTGCAATAATGCTAATTAAAAATGGTGACAAACTCATCTACTAGGATTTTTGTATACAGCACCGTATTCTGTTCTCAACAGGTCAGTGCTCCAGACAATGAGCAAAGCACAATGGTATTGCAGCAAACTTTATGCTGGTCGGCCTTTCCTTCCCTTCCCTTCCCTTCCCTTCCTTCCTTCCTTCCTTCCTTCCTTCCTTCCT